GTGCTGAAGGAGGAGGTGTATGTTGAGCAACCACTCGGGTACATGAAGAGAGGAGAAGAAAAGAAGGTGCTGAGATTGAGAAAAGCCCTCTACGGGTTGAAGCAAGCTCCTCATGCTTGGAATGAAAGGATTGATGGGTATTTCAAGAAGAACGGGTATGAGCAATGTCCGTACGAGCATGCCTTATACATAAAGAACTCAGGAAAAGATATGATGGTAGTTGCTCTCTATGTCGACGACCTCATATTCACTGGAAGTAATGCTAAACTGATTAAGGAGTTCAAGGAGATAATGGAGAAGGAGTTCGAGATGACTGACTTAGGCTTGATGAAATATTTTCTTGGCCTAGAAGTGAAGCAATCGGATGAAGGGATTTTTATATCCCAAGAAAGGTATGCACTTGAAATCCTAAAGAAGTTTAAAATGGAGGATTGCAATCCGGTTTCTACTCCAATGGAACCAGGCACAAAACTTTCAAAGTTTGATGGAGGAGATCGAGCTGATTCTGGGAGATATCGGAGCTTAGTCGGAAGTCTGAGGTACCTTACAAGCACGAGACCCGACTTAATGTTGAGTGTTGGGATAACGAGCAGATTTATGGAGGATCCGAGCTACACACATTGGAAGGCCTTGAAGAGAATTCTGAGATATGTTCGAGGAAGCCTATCACTTGGTCTTTTCTATTCAAAATCGGACGACTACCGATTAGTGGGTTACTCGGACAGTGATTGGTGTGGAGATGTTGATGATCGGAAGAGTACCTCGGGTTATGTATTTCTACTCGGGAATACGGCTTTTACTTGGCTGTCAAAGAAGCAGCCTATTGTAACTCTGTCAACTTGCGAGGCCGAGTACGTGGCGGCATCTTGGAGTGTATGTCATGCAGTGTGGCTTTCAAATTTACTGAGGCATATGGGAGTGATCCGAGATGAAGCGATTGTGATCCGAGTTGATAACAAGTCGGCAATCGAGTTGGCAAAGAACCCGGTCAATCATGGAAGGAGCAAGCACATTGACGTCCGATTTCATTTCATCCGGGAGTAGATCGGACAAGGAAAAGTCGAGTTGGAGCATGTCGGAAGCCGAGTTCAAGCAGCAGATATATTTACCAAGCCACTGCCGACTACACTGCTTGAAAATTGCAAAAAAACTGATTGGAATGAGAGATGGGAAAAGCATTTAAGTTTAAGGGGGAGATTTGTTATGAAACTTAAATTAGGAGTTTTATTTTGTTTTAATAATATTAATGGTGTGAATTATGAGAGACATTTAAAATATGTAAACGTTGTTTTTTGTCAGCTACAAATAAGTGTAATTTCATTTGCAACATGAATGAGAATATAGAGAGTTTGTTTTGCTCCCAAATTTATGCCCTTTTTCATTAACAACAATGTCACGTTCGATCATGTAGGAAGGTAGTGACATAGATGAAGAAGAAATGAGTGACGAAGAATTTTATGAAGCCATGTACGCGTGTGTAATGGCAATTCATGCATTAATGCATGTGTTGATTCAGTTTCCAGTTATGATACGTAATGAACAAAATGAGTGTCCATTAAATCGACAACGAATTTCTAACATGGGAAATGACTATATACATTAAGCATTAAGCAATGATCTTGTAATATTTCAATAATGTTATAGGATGTATATAGATGTGTTTCAAAAGTTATGTACAATTCTTAAAGAAAAAACACCTCTAAAGGATGCACGATAACACCTACTTTGATAGCTAAACCAAGATCAACTATGCCAGCTAAAATTAGAGAAAACACACGGTTCTTCCCTTTCTTCAAGGTATGTACTAATTATCTTATAATAAAAATTAGAATTAAATTTGGCACTACTATATTTATATTTTTCATATGATGAAGTATTATATATGCTAAATTTTAGGATTATATTAGAGCTATTAACGAGACACATATTCCAACAATGGTGAGGGGCGAGATGTAAGCAGTTATCATCATAGTCATGGAAAGATATCACAAAATGTATTAGCTACTTATAATTTTAATTTGGAGTTCATGTACGTTCTTAATGGGTGGGAGAGTTTGGCTCATGATTATAAACTACTAAATGATGCTATAACAAGGAGGAATGAACTTAAAGTGACTCAAGGTAAATGCTTATCCTTTAAATAATGATAATAACAACAACAACAACAACAATAATAATAATAATAATTATTATTATTATACTAATATTATATATATTGCATATGTAATTAGGTAAATATTTCTTGGTGGATTGTGGATTTCTTAATGGACGCCAATTTTTAGTTGCATTTCAAGGTGTAAGATATGATTTACAAGATTTTGCAGATTAGGGTAATGATCCTAAAAATGAGAAAGAGTTGTTCAATCTTCGTCATGCGTCTTTAAGGAATGTGATCGAGAGAATATTTGGTATTTTTAAATCAAGGTTCACAATTTTTAAGTCAACATCTCCATTTTTATTTAAAACACAAGTATAACTTGTATTAGCATGTGCAACATTACGTAACTTGCTTGGTAAAGAAATGCTGTTCTAATGAATTTTCAATCGAACCGGTGAACGAATCTTCATTTTTCACATTATCGATTAATGAAAATAATAATTTTGAACTTATTATTCAAATCTAGAAGAAAGAGCGAGAAAATGCTAATGCTTGAAAGACTAGTATAGATATGAATATGTGAGTAAATGCTATTTAAGAGGACATGATATTACGAAAAATTATTATTATTATTTATTCATACATTATTATTTTTTTAATTATTTTTGTCTTTGACTTTTTTTAAATTTGAATGTGTGAAAAAAATCTCGAACTCTTATTATATGTCAAAAATCTACAAAATGTTGTAAAGTCCACAAAGTTCCGTATAATCTATTAAAATTTTAACTTAAAAATCTTGCAGAATCTATTAAAATCTCGATTTAAAGTCTTGCAAAATCTTAAAAATCATAAAAAATTTGTAAAACCTTTTAAAATCCTTAGGACTTTTTTTAACTATTTTTTTTAAAATCTTAATTCAATACATTGCTTAATAATTTTAAATAATATAAATAAAAATTAAAAATGAAAATAATTACCGTTCACTTGTGTCGGATGATAATATGGGCTTTTTGACCCCACTAAATTAAAAAAAATTAAAAATACATGAAATAAATTAAAAAAAAAACTATTTACTGAAATAGGTGATCTTGGACACGTAGGAGTACACGTGGCATGGAAAACGCATGGGGGGTGGGCGTCTTTTATAAAAAGCTTCCCCCCATATGCCTTTAGTTGTTGATGTGGCAGCCGCCACAAC